GCATAGGTAATCATCTTCTTTGGCCTGTCCAATGCATAGGTAATCTTCTTCTTTGGCCTGTCCAATGCATAGGTAATCATCTTCTTTGGCCTGTGTAATGCATAGGGAATCTTCTTCTTTGGCCTGTCCAATGCATAGGTAATCGTCTTCTTTGGCCTGTCCAAGGAGACCCAAACCTGCAGATGGCGATCATGCATCCCATCCCCCACCTCCTACACAGGTGGCCAGTGGGGCGCGTGCCCCCCCAGCACAGGAGGCCTGCGGGAGGCACGTGGCCCCCCCCAGCACAGGCGGACATTGGGGGCGCGCCCCCCCACCCCACCGCATGGGTGCTCGGCTGGTGTGCGGCCCCTCTTGTGCGGGTGGCCGGAGGGCGCCTGCTTCCCTCACAGCCGCCATCCTGGCTCCAAGAATTCTCTCCAGACCAAGTCCACCTTGCAGCAGTGTGGTGGCTTCACTGTACCAGTCTTGAGGAGGGCCGGTGCCCAGCATCCATCCTGGGTGAGGGAATCCATTCGTTCCGGCTGTGGAAGCCTCATGGAGCTGCAGTGGCTGTGCGGCACAGCGAGGGCTCTGCGTGGGGGGTGGGGGTTGGGAGCCACGAGACTCACCCATTTCTCCTTGGGAATCCTTGAATTCCTGTTGTTGAGCCTCGATCTTCACTGAGGGCCAATCATCAACTGTTTAAGTGTTCAATTATCAGTAAGCCGAAGTCTGTGGAAGGCCATAATGGCCCTGCTTTAAGTGGTTCGCTGCTCCCGCAGCTTACCACGCTGTCTCTGCCTCTGCCGCCATCTTGGATCTCCGGATCAGATATTTTTATTAATTCCAAAGGTTCTAGGACATGAGGGCTAGTTGTTCAGTACCTTGTTCTTTGGCCTCAGGACAGTTTGGGTAGGTAGTGGCCCTGGAACATGACATTTCAATAAGGCAAGTGGATCTAATCAGCATCTTGTGAAGGAAAAATGAAGGGGGGCCAGTTAGGGTCTCAAAACTGAGTAAAACAAAAACAAATGAAAAACCCCAACAACCGAGTCAAGCATTTGTTAAGTTCATTGCAGTTGGATGTCAGGAGTTAAAAGGGATTTGGCATTAGCATTGGGTGTGAGAGGAGTGGGAGGCTGGGCTGAGGTAGGATTAGACCTTGTCTACCTCACTCCATTGGCCTCCATCCCTACCTTGTCCATAGGTATCAATACTGAACAAGTATTCAGAAGCCATCAAGGGCAACTTAACCAAGATCATGCGGCTTAAAATTGTAGCTCTGGTGACCATTGAAATCCACGCCCGAGACGTGTTGGAAAAGCTCTATAAGAGTGGCCTCATGGATGTCAATTCGTTTGACTGGCTCAGCCAACTTCGCTTTTACTGGGAGAAGGTAAAGATGGGCCAACTCCCACTTTCCTTAACCTAACCCTTAGTCTTATCAGTACCCTAATCTAGTTCTCAACTCTATCTCAGATCTCCTTTATTAGTAATGACAAGTCGTTCTTCTGGTTAATGTTCAGTGTGAATGTCATTGATCCTTGATCAGGAGTCAGAAAGAAACCAATGGAGGGGAACTGCAGTATGAAACCCACTCTCCATCTTTTCTTTATTACAAACAATTCTCTCCTTAAAATTCTGTAGTTAAAACTCCTGGTCTTCTAATTGTAACCTCCCTGTCATCTCCAAGCCCTCGTCTTTTCCTCAGCTCCAACTCTTCCTCGATGCCCACCCCACTCTTACTGGCCCATTTCCTAGGATCTTGATGACTGTGTGATCCGCCAGACCAACACGCAATTCCAGTACGGTTATGAGTACCTGGGTAACTCCGGGCGCCTTGTCATCACCCCTCTGACAGACAGGTATGCTCTGTAGGGTGAGCCAGGTGGATAGAGTCAGCAGGAAACGCCGAGGGAGGGACCCCAGCAGTGACGCAAGCCCTGCCCTGGATTCTCAGGTGCTACATGACACTGACCACAGCGTTACACCTGCACCGAGGGGGGTCCCCCAAAGGCCCAGCCGGCACAGGAAAGACGGAGACTGTCAAGGACCTGGGCAAGTCCCTGGGCACATATGTCATTGTGGTCAACTGCTCAGAGGGTCTAGACTATAAATCGATGGGCCGAATGTACTCTGGCCTGGCTCAGGTCAGTATCCTTGTCCCCTTAAATATTTAGTCTCAGAAAATCAAACACAACCTGGATCTGGCTTGGTACCTTGTAACTCACAGGATTGCACTGCCTCAGCGAGTCCCTTCATCTTCCTAAGCTTCACATTGCTGTCTGTAAGCCCAGTAGATTATGTCTGGATTAAAGAAAATAATGACTGTAAACTGTCTGGCACATCACAGACACTCAATCAATATATTTGTACAAGTTCCCAACCCCAGTCTCTTCCCTATTCAGATTTTTGCCCCTCTCTGACAGAAAGATCTCACTAGAAGGACAGTTGTGCTGTTCTGGGAGTTTCCTCTACCTATTTTGGAGGCTACTTCACCTAGCAAACATTTTAGGGAAGCAATCTTAGCTATCTAGTGCTGCTGTAGAAATACCACAAGTGGATGTTTTTGAAAAATAGAAATGCATTTTCTCACAGTTCTTGGGGCAAGAAGTCCAGATTGGGGTCTTGGCGAGCTGATTTCCTTCCTTGGCAGCAGCCTGACCACTTGGATTCTCTGCCAGGAGCCTGGTTGGTGGGTTCCTTGTGATCCTCCCAACATACCTGTCTGCTCCCATCCTGGCTTCTGTATCTAACCTGCCCATTAGCATAAAAAAAGATTCTGAATTCCTGAACAAGATATATATATATATATGGTTACAAAGATTAAACTACATTAGGATTTGGTGGGGCAGTTATAAAATTCAATCTGCAACAGAAGGGCATGCTCCTCTGTCTTTTTGTTTCCCCCTGTCTCCCTCCCTCCTTCCCTTCACTGACTCTGCCACCCCCACAGACTGGAGCCTGGGGCTGCTTTGATGAGTTTAACCGCATCAACATTGAAGTACTGTCAGTGGTGGCCCAGCAGATCCTGTCTATCCTCTCGGCTTTGGCTGCCAATCTCACACGCTTCTTCTTTGAGGGCTTTGAAATCAATCTGGTGTGGTCCTGTGGGATCTTCATTACCATGAATCCTGGTAAGGGGCTAATTAGAATCCTGTGGGATCCTTATTGCCATGAACTCTGGTAGATGGGCGCCAGTGGGGAAGACTAGGCAAATAACAGCATCTGCTTCCTTCGCCTTCTACACCCATGTTGTTGTTGTTATTGTTGTGTGCCATCAAGTTGGAACTGACCCATAGCTGACCCTCCAGTGAGTTTTCAGAGGCTGTGAGCCACATGAGAGGAGATTGCCCATCCCTTCCAACAAGCAGCTGGAGGAGTCCATGTAACTCTGTGAAATCTGGCAAAAGACAGGATGAGAGAAGGATTTCTTTCTGGTAGAAGAGGAGAAATGTTATTGTTTTGACTTAGTAATGACAAAGAGCTTAATAACCTCTGCTGTGTATATAGCAATGACCCCTGGTGGTGCAATTGTTAAAGTACTTAGCTGCTTACCGAAAGGACAGTGGTTTGGACCCACCAGCCTTCAAGGGCCAGAGCTGTGGTAGTCCACTTCCAGAGGCATTTTTCTCTCACCGCCATCAGGTTGGAATCAGCTCACACCTGACCCTCCACTGGCTTTTCCGAGGCTGTAAGATGCATGGGTGGAGAGTGCTTATCTTTCTCCAGTAGAGCAGTGCCTTGGGGTCAGCAGTGCCATTTCCTGCCCACCAGGCCCCCAGAGCTCCCCAGACTTTGCAGCCTTAGGAACCTGTGGGACGATTCGACTCTGCTCTATAGGGTTGCTCTGCATTGGAATGGACTTAACAGCAGGGTTTGGGTCTTGGTTACCTGTGTGTATCTGTAACCTCAGGTGATTGCATGCTTGGTTACTAACCAAAACATTAGTGGTTTGGAGCCATCTAGAGACTGCGGTAGTCATCAGTCTCTGCCTGGCAATTTACTTCTCAATGATCATAGACCTGAAACCCTGGGGAGCAGCCCTGCTATGCACACCCAGAGTCATCATGACCTGATGACGAACAACAAGAAGCGATCTTCTCCCAGTGGGCCATCTCCCAGAGTTTCGGTGTCCCTTGAGAAGGGGAGAGTTTCTACACAGTGCAGAGTCCCAGAGCTGCATTACTGTTCCCGGGGAATGACTCTGCAGAAGGGTCTAGGGAAGAACAGGTGTTAGAAATGAGTTTAAGTACTGAAACAATCAAAGAAGCAGCCAGAATTTGCATGAGGACCACTATAACACACAGAAGTTGGAGGGATGAGAAATGAGCAGTTCTGAGATTTGAGTTTGAAACAGGGACCTGAATAAAGTAGAGAAGGGAGCAGAGATATAAAGTGACCAGAGGGGAATGGGAAGAGTCAGGTTTGAGATGAGAATTAGGGAGAAATCTAAGATTTGGAGCTGCTGTTATTGAAGACTGTCAAGTTGGCACCAATGCAAAGTTGAGCCTCAGCAGGTTTTCAGAGGCAGAAAATCACCAGGCAGGAGAATGCACATCCCCCATGGAGCAGCTGGTGGATTTGAACTGTGTACCTTTGGGATTGCAGCTCAGTTTCTTAACACTAGGCCACTAGTGTTCCCTAAAGGAGAAGTTGGGAAGTGAGGCTCTGGGAAGCAAGCCAAAATAAAAAAAAAATCACCATATGAATTCTAAGTAAATGACACTGTTTTTCAGGTTATGCTGGCCGCACAGAACTTCCTGATAATCTTAAATCCATGTTCCGTCCAATTGCCATGGTGGTGCCAGACTCTATTCTCATTGCAGAAATCATTCTCTTTGGGGAGGGCTTTGGTAATTGCAAGGTATTCCTATAATCCTTTTCTCTAATTATTTTCTTCCCCTTTCCACTGCTATTCCCTGGACAGAGAAATTCCCTTAAGATCTTAGAATTAATTTATCTCATTAAGAACTTAGACTGTTGCTGCTAGGATATGGAGACAGTGGAATTCCAAGGGACATCTCCCCTTTGCTGATGTCACTGCACGAAAGGATTCACAAGATCTTTTTTCCTTTTTTTAAAAAAAATATTATCTATGCAGCACATTCTACCTGTCTACAGAGGTCCCTAGGTGGTGCAACAGTTAGCACTTTCAGCTGCTAACCAAAAGGTTGTCAGTTCGTGTCTGCATAAAGAGGCCTTGAGAGAGAGTCGTTCATTGTCTATCCACTCTTTTCCTATACTTTCCCCAACCTCCAATGTCTATCCTATTTTATAATAATGATGTTATGCAGTCTTTGTCCCTTTTTGGCTGAGGTATTTAACTCAGCATAATGTTCTCATGGCTTCCCCATGTTGTGCAATGTTTTACAAGTTCATTGTTTTTCAGTGCCACGTAATATTCCATTGTGTGAATGTACCATCGGTTCTCTATCTATTTGTTTGTTGATGGACATCTGGTTGCTCTCATATCTTTGCTATTGTGAATAATGCAGCTATAAACATGAGTGTGCATACATCTGTTTGAGTCATGGCTCTGGTTCCATTAGGGTATATTCCCAGTAGTGGAATTGCTGGGCCAAATGGTATTTCTGTTTCCAACTTTTTGAAAAAGTGCCAGACCACTTTCCATAGTGGCTATACCATTTTTCACTCCCACCAAGAGTGATTAAGAGTTCCAGTTTCTCCCCACCCTTGCCAGCATTTGTTGTTTGCTACCCTGTTGAACTTTGCTGCTGGTGCTGGGGTAGTGTTACCTATTTAAAGTCCCAGGATTAGCTTCTAGTGTCCCTGTCAGAGGATGAAGTGAGGGAATTTTGGGGAGACAGATGGATTCTTCCTTTGTTTGCTTCCCTAGATTCTGGCCAAGAAGGTGTACACGCTGTACTCACTGGCTGTGCAGCAGCTCTCCAGGCAGGACCACTATGACTTTGGCCTGCGTGCCCTCACCTCCCTGTTGCGCTACGCTGGCAAGAAGCGACGCCTGCAGCCGGATCTGACCGATGAAGAGGTGCATCAGCCACCAGAACGTCCCTGTCACTACCCCATATGCTTTTGCTTGCCTACACTACGGATTCTCAGCCTTCTACCTTAACTCCTGTGTTCTACTTGCTGTGTTGCTAAAAACTAATTCTGGTGTAGCCATTATTCTTTGCTCCTTCCCTTCAGCCCCTTGGAGAGGAAGAGCTACGTACTGAGGCCCTGATTCCTTAAGCCCATGTCTCCGTCCTTTCCTACACAGGTTCTGTTGCTCTCAATGAGGGATATGAACATTGCCAAGCTGACTTCTGTCGACATGCCACTGTTCAACGCCATTGTGCAAGATCTGTTTCCCAGCACCGAGCTGCCTGTCATTGACTATGGAAAGGTACCTGTTCTTTCACGCTGTCTCTCAGCTCATGCATGAGGGTGGGTTTGGAAACAGAATCAAATTTAAGTTTGGTTTCTAGGTTTTGTTTTGCCACTCACTAGCCTCTCTAACCTCCTTATGCAGGAAATGATAGCTTGTTCTTTTTGTTAGCTGCTGCTGAGGGGACTTGACTCATAGTGACCGGCCATGTACAGGGCAGAAGAGTTTCCTAGGGTTTTGAGGCCTGTGACCTTTTTGAAAGTAGGATGCTAGACCTCTTTCCTGAGGTGCAGGATGCATTTGAACCGCAGTTAAGTGCTTAGCCATATGTGCCACCAAGGGAGTACAAATGATGTTGACTTACTGTCTTAGTTGTCTAATGCTGCAGTAACAGAAGTGCCACAAATGGATAGCTCTATCAAATGGTGGTTAACCTTTTCTAGTTTGGGAGGTTCATAGTCCAAAGTCAGCCTGATAACTTCTGGGTGAAGGCCTGTTCTCTTCCCGTTGGTTGTGGAGGGAAGGCCTAGCGTTCACTGTGAGGAGCTTCCTTGAGTTGGGGTCCGGGCTGAAAGAGATAACACCCACTTCAAAAAATTATTTTTTGATGAAGTTGCCTACCTCAGATGCAATGATACAATGAATATCACCAAGTAAAATCTTGCCAGATATTCCTAAAAAACAACTGAGAACATCAACAGGGTACTGCCAGAAATTCAAGATGAATTCTGAAGAGGCTGTGGTGCCAGGGATATATTATTGCTGATGTCAGATGTATGTTGACAGAAAACAGAGAATACCAGAAGGATATTTCCTTGTGTTTCATTGACTATGCAAAGGCATTTGACTATGTGGATCATAATAAATTATGGATAACCTTGAGATGGATAGGAATCCCAGCACACTTCATTATGTTCACACAGAACTTGTGCATGGACCAAGATGTTGTTGTTGTTGTTATGTGCCGTCGAGATGAAAAGTCCAGGCTGGGTTTAGAAGGGGTCGTGGTACTAGGGATATTGTAGCTAGCTGATGTTAGATGGACCAAGATACAATTGTTTGAACAGAACAAGGGAATGCTGTATGGTTGAAAATCAGGATAGGTGTGTGCCAGGATTATATCTTTTTACCAAACCTATCCAATCTGAATGGGGAGCTTTGGTAGCATAGTCCATGAGGAGTTGCACTGCTAACCCAAAGATATTGACCATCTCTGATGGTTTAAATTCATCCACAGCTCCTCGAGGGAGAAGTGGGCACCTCTCCCCGTGCAATTTACAACCTCCTTAAACTCATCCACTTGGAGGGGTCAAGTTAGTTCAGACTTGATGCCAATCAGTGAGTGAGTGATTCATTATAAACACGGAAAAAATAATTTTAAAGTACCTTGAAATAATTTTAAAAACTGAACTACATGAAGAATGCAATGTCAAAATTGGACAAAGACTCTCAGCCTGAGACATAGATACATGGATGTCGCTACATTGATCACAGAAAAAGAACCCTGGAAGCATTTCTGGTGAACCTCAAAGACCACAGCCTTCAGTTTGTATTATGCTTCAACATAAAGAAACAGCCCTCATGAGTGGATGAGGTAAGCAGCAGTGTGGTAAAGGAAGGAAAGACTGAAGTAGTCAAAGATTTCTTTTTACTTGGTTCCACAATCAACATCCATGGAAGCAGCAGTCAAAAATCAAATGATGTATGACAGTGGGCAAATCTCCTGCCAAGGACCTCTTGATAGTACTAAAGAGCAAGGATGTAATTTTAAAGACTATGGTGCTACTGATCCAAACCATGATATTGTTAATTACTTCATATTCCTGTGAAAGTTGGACAGTGTGTATAAAGAAGAGTGAAGAAGAATTGATGCTGAGTGAAAAGAAAACCCACCAACTTGGAAAAAACATTTGGCAATGGAATCTCAGACAAGGGTCTCATAATGAAAATTTACAGAATACTATAGGCCCTCCACAAGGAAATGTCATGAAATGGGCATTTGGGTGTCCAACAACACATGAAAAAATGCTCAGAATCACTGTCAATAAGAGAGATGCAAATCAGAACCACAGTGAGATATAATCTCACCTCAGTAGCAGTGGTAAAGTTTAACTGGACAGCAAGTAATAAATGTTGGAGAGGAAGTGGAGAGATGGAAAATCTCCTACACTGTTGGTGGAATTGTAAAATGGTGCAAACACTCTAGAAGGCAGTTTGGTGTTTCCTCAAAAAAGCTGAACATAGAAATTCTATATGACCCAGCTATTCCACTGCCAAGAATATACCCCAAGGAAAAGAGAACTGAGACACAGAGATTTATACACTTAGGTTTGTAGCAGAGTTTATTCATAATAGCAAGAAAATGGAAACAGCCCAAATGTCCATCAACAAATTAATAGATTGAGAAATTATGGTACTGTAGTGTTAGCCTAAAGTTGGCTTTTTTATCCATTACCTTATCCCCCTCTGGTCTCTAGCTACCTTAACTACAGACACATGGTCTTGCGAATCATTAACAGCTATCGGGCTAGGACTATAATAAAAGAGAGGGCACTTCCCACACTGAGCAGTAAGACTTGAGAGAAGGGAGACTGGAACAAGACCCTGTTGAGAGTAAGACCCTGGTGATGGTGGAGAGATGGTGGCATTGCTGTAGAGAAACTGTGGCAAGGTGTCTGTTCTTGCCAAATGATGGAAGGAGAAACTTTGAGGCAAACCTTACTGGATGATTGAGGAAACCAGAAGATTTTTAAATTTGTATTGCTCAACAGAAACCAGGACTTTTACTAATTAAAAGTTGGGACTGCTGGACTAAACCTGGATTTATATTGTGAGATATTCTTTACCTCTCCTACTTTTCAATTTGTTTCCCTAATAAACCCCATTCTTAGTACCACAACTGTGAGTAAAGTTGTTGAGTCAGCAGTGAACCTTCTTGCTGCTGGTGTGGTTCTAGAGTTACCAAGGAGGTTGGACAACAGGCTTTTCCTCTTCTTTATGCTCAGGAGCAGTGAAGCGCTGTGCTATTCTTACTCGGTCTGGCCCTTTCAGAGAGATGCTCACAGCCCTGTGCCCTTATGTCCCATTTTCTGCTCTTTAGACAGGTACATTCACACTGTGGAATACTATGCGACACTAAGGAACAATGATTATGTAAAAGATATAACATGAGAGAGTCTAGAGAGAATTATGCTGAGCAAACTCAGTTTCATAAGGACAAATACCATATAAAAGAATTATTGTAAAATATAGAAGGATAACCAGTAAGATGTTTATAAAAGTCCAAAAGGGGAAGAGGAGGAGGGCAGAGGGGTGGAATGTGGGGAGAGGAGGAAATTATTAAGATGACGGAGTTTGGTAGGTGGAGGGAGAAGGTGATAGAATTAGGAAAGATCTAGTAGGGACCTAAAAAGATGTGGTAATAGTGGGCGTAGATGAATGGTGATTAATTTTATAAAACGCAATATATATGAAGGATCATATGACATAAAATGTGCATCAAGGAATGTGTGAAATACAGTATATATGAATTTTGATGCAAACCAATGTAAAGTTTTTTTTAAATTTAAAGGCATAAAAGTTTAAAAAGAATTTATACCTTTGAATTATGGTGCTGAAGAAAAAAATATTGGCTATCCCACAGACTATCAAAAAGAACAGAAAATCTCGAAAACGTTTTGTTTGAATCTACCAGATGCTCTGCTGGAGGAGGAGGGGCAGTCTCCTCCTGTGCCAGTCGGATCTGATTCCACAGTATACAAGGAAAGGAAAAAACAAAGAACAGAAAAATTTGGTCTTAGAAGAAGTGCAGCCGGAATGTTCGTACAAATCAAAGTTCACAAAACTTCCTCTCACACACTTTGAACATCAAGGTGGTCAGTCCCTCAAAGAGAACATTGCACTTGGAAAAGTAAAGGTCAACCGAAAATATTATGGCCCTCATGAGAGGGATGAACTCAGTGACTGCAGCAGTGGGCTGGCGCACGGAAGAAACTGTGTAAGGATCATGCAGGATCAAGCAGTTCGTTCTATCGGGCATAGGTTTGCTGTGAGTAGAAGCTGACTCAACAGCCCCCAACAACGATAATGGGACAAAAGATTTATTTCTAGTCTTGAATTCTATACCCAGACAACTTATCATGTAAGAGAGAAAGTTAGAGATATTTTTATAAACCATATTTTATTGTGATTTTAATGAAAGTTTACAGAAAATTTGACTTTGCACTCATTCATTGTTGCACATTTTTCTCCCTATCCCCCTCCCAGTTTGCTTTTCTCTTAAATAAATTCATTTATTGTTACAGTTTCCTCCCACCCCCACCCCGCACCCTAGTCCACATTGATTTGCACATCTTATTCTGGACTTTTGTCATGTAAATGATGCCTAACAGTATATTCCTTTTAAACATTTCTTTCCCTCATCTGTTTCAATGCAATGTTCATTATTTATCCCCGCTTTTCTTAGTTTCTCCCAACCCCTATGTCAGTCCTATTTTATAAAAGTAGTACTATGCAGTATTTGTCCTTTTATGACTGAGATATTTCACTCAAGACACACATGCATACTACTTCATTCAAAAAAACGGTACAAAACAGCCATCTCCAGTCTATACAGTCTGGGAAAGTTACAAGAGGGTATGCTCTTCCATCATGCAGAAGTATACCAAGAGATGGAGAAACAGGACACAGAAAACAGAACTTTCCATGTTAGGGAGAGGACAAAATCATCCCTAGGATGATAGTTGATCCAGTGACAAGAGAAACTAGTCTTTTTTT